CTTGAACTTGAATGAACTAAAAGGCCCAGCAGACAAAGAAAAGACTGCTTTGTACAATTTTTTAAAATTTGAAGTTTGGATTTCCACCAAAAAGAAAGACTGAGGAAGGAACAGAGCTAATGTTCCAAGGATCATTTCAGATTATTCATGATCTATAGTAATCCCCAACAAATGTATCCGTTTTTAATCTTGATATAGAACAGAATTGAATTTCATCTAGCTTGCTTTGAGTAAACTGCCTAGATATTGTTATTCTCAGGGTTGAGAAACTGGAAAATGAAGCCAAGGCCAACTTGGATAAGTTTGATGAGATCACTGCCAAGTGGGCCAAGGCCAAGCAGAAGATCATCCCCCAGGATCTCTGGGAGGCTCTAAATCTACAGCAGTAGCACTGTGCATTGCTGATTGAAGAGAAGAACAAGGTTATTAGTGAGTTGCAACAGGTAGGATTCATGCTTAGTGTATATGCATCAGATTGCTCTCAGCAAATATGGCTGCAGGGACATGCTGAAAGGTCCATGCTAAGAAGAACACTGAATTTAGAGAAAGAAATTTTAAAGAGTTTTATAATTCAAAAGATCTCACATAGGACATTTAGATACATATATTAAACTGTGATGGAAAAGCAATCCTTACTGTGTGTGTGTGTTTGTGTCTGTGTTTGTGTGTGTGTGTGTGTGTGTGTGTGTGTAATAATCATCATCACTGAAAGGAAGAATACAAGCAACTCTCAGCTCTATTTCCCCTTATTAAGAGGGAGTAACTAATTTTAGCTGAAACTCATATGTTCCCCTCCATTATATTTTTGTTTGTTAATGACCCATTTGTGTGCCTATATGCATTTCCCACCCCCTTAAAAAAATCAAAAGTGGTGTTTATGTTCTCCCATAAAATATAAAACAGCCCACTTCCTTGTAATTCACAGGCAATATCTGAGGTAAAATAAATCTTTTCTTCATATCTGATATATTTGCTATTTTTTAAAAGTTGAAAAGCCTGGGAAGTAAAATAGATTGTCATTGCAATAAACTATAAATTCCAGATGATACTCTCTGGGAATGGCTTTTCACAGCTGGGTACTATTACTAGAAAAAATGGCAAGTGGTAAGCATAGCAATGTGAATGAGAGCTATTTCTTTTGCCCTATGATCTTTGGAAGAAATATGAGATTTTTAAAAGTAATATCCTCAGCAGCAATTGGACTAAACAGCTAACAGCACCTTATTTGGTGCTTTAAAGAATGGTGTATAGTCCATGACCAACAAGTTACATGTGGCTCCCAGTGGTGAGATTATGATCCCCAGAGCCATTTTCAAACTTGCTGCTGAGTTCTGATAATAAATTTTAAAGTTTCCATAAATGCTGAGGGTATTGAATCTGCCACCACATTGTGACGACTGAAAAAAAATGGTGTTCTTCTCCCCCGCCCTTTGATTTCATGTAGTTTATTAATGTTTAACTGTTTGTCCAACTACAGGATACTTTCTGTGAAATATGATAACTGTTTTTTCCTGCCATAAACATGGTGATTTTGAGCCCCATTTCTGGGAAAAAAGGGATCACAGTTGTTGGAGAGAAAAACATATGGGAAAACACTGATTTTGATCAATGCATTGGGAAGTAGTGAGAGGGGAAGGAGAAAATGTGTTTTTGTGTGTATGGAAGGGTGGGAAGTTACAGTTCACATGTGTATTTACACTGTATGAGGAAAAATAGATTTGTTTGTGTATTGAATAAACGTATGCTTGTGAGGGTTAGGATGTGTGTTGCAGTGCAGGATAAGTGTCATCATAAATCACATCCATTTCATCCTTGCTCTTGTCTATTTAAATCAGGGTGCGAAACTCACAGCCCGTGGGCCAGCCACGTCACGTGCTGGCCACACCCACACCCAGTTTAGTGAAGGGGGGGAAGTCCCAATACATCATGTGACACCATTGTGATGATGTGAGTTTGACACCCCTGATTTAGATCATCCATGGTAGTGTAGTCTCCTGCCCTAAAAAAATTATGCATTTCTACTCAAACATTTGGGGATGAAGGCAGATTAACGAGATTGGTACAATCAGCTTGAATTGGTCTCTGAATTGGCTTACTGGGTTTCCACTACATACTGAACTATGAAACTCATCAAACACACTGTGGGATCCTATAACAGCTAAGCTATAACAGTTAAGCTATAAAAAGTTAGATCACTATTAACTAAGCTTTGCATGCTGTGCTAATGCAGCTGCTAGGCCTTGTCTGTTTGTATTACTACTGAACATATCCTCTAGCTTGCTGAACAGCATTCAGGTTTGCAGAGGTAAACAGTGGAACAATGCCACAATTAATTATTTTTCACAATTAATTATTTTTCTGAATACAAGTTTTTGCTTTCCCAATTGTTTTTGCTTGTCCAGGAATTGAAGAGTAAAGATGATCAGTATGTGAAGGATCTTAGGAAACAGAATGAAGACATTAATTTGCTGCTTGAGCGAATGGAAGAACAGATCCGAAATCTCGTTAAAATCTACCGTCGAGAACTTTTGCATATAGAGGTATATGATTATTTTTAAGCGAAACATGTATCTTGTTTGTTCTGCATGTACAAAAAGAATCTCCATAGATGTTTAAATCTTAGGGTTTTTCCCCTCCAGAAAGCCTTTGAATTGGAGCGTCGTGAACTTCTCACAAGCAACAAAAAGAAATGGGAGCAAGCCATGCAAGCTCTCAACCGACAAGAGGTAATTTGGGTATTTTTGTTCTGGGAGCAGTTTAGAGAGCTGTTCAGGGAGCAATGATAACCCAAGAGAGTCCTTTGGGGAAAAGCTGATGGAAAAGAAAGGTATATACCAATAGCTGAAATATAAGAGGAAAAGGCAGAGGAAACTTGAGTAACAATCTTTTGTAAAGCTTAAATATTTCTGGAAAAGTCCTTGTCAATATCAAGATTTTTGAAGGCTTGATTAATGGGCAATGCTTGAGGTTGAATAAATGAGTATAGGTAGAAGAAACCTAGATGTGATCTTCAGAGTGTAATTTAGGGTGACTTTATATTTTAAAATCTGAAACATAACAGGTTCTCTTGATTTTTCTTGGTTAATCTCTGCCATTGTGTCTTTCATAATGGGAAATAGAAGACTTGACTCAAGGTCCATATGTGAAGAGGCACACAATGGTAGAAAAAGTGCTTTCCCCCAAAAGTATGTGTAGTAAATGTTATTGCTTCTAACTACACGGTATTTATTTTTTTAAAATAATCTTGGAAACTTTTTTTAAAATTTTTTGAAACAGCATGAAACTGAAAGAAGGAGATTTTGCCCTTATCTTTGGCAATGTAGGAATAGGCTGATGCTAATATGATGCTAATATTCAGAAAATTTTTAGGACAGATCATTAGCTGTAGAAGAGAATATTTGCATATTGAGATGAGGGGTCCCTGGTGCTCTCATGATTGTTTTCTTGCAGACATTTCATTATCAAACAAGTAAATATCAACAGTGCATTACCCAATCATTAAGCATGAGTTGCCTTGAACCGCAAGATGGCTGGCATCTTAGAGATAGATAGATGGATGGATGGATGGATGGATGGATGGATGGA